GCCGTAGAGCCGGATGGGAGTCTTGCTGCTTGCTGGTTCCTCATCAAAGATGACATCGTACAGCTGGTCAGGGACAGCCAGGGCCTGGCAGGGGGAAGGGAGAGATTCAGCAGCCTGCACTGGCCAGGACCATTAAACCTGCCATCTCGGGCAGCAGGGCTCTGACACCAAGTTTTTATGAAATGGGAGCCACCGGCCAGGAAATTGGAAATGAAGCAGGCACAGTGTCACTGTGTCAGCTCCTGCCTTCACAGCTGGTCACTGTGGCCGAGGCTGTTGTGCCACGTGTGGTTTACGATCCTGCTAATGAAAATTGACTCCGGTGATGGGAACAAACGGCCAAGGACACTGCTGGCAAAGACAACCACTGAGACACAGTGAGGGCAAAGGCAACAGTTCCTGGCGGCAGAGGAGGGAGGCTGCCACGCTGGGGCACCCTCTGGAAGCCAGGAGCTGGCAGTGCCCAGGGCCACCTTCTTCACTTACCATGATGGCGACCCCAGAGAACATGACGGCGGAAACCAGCTGCCAGACCCTGTGTGGGAGGGAAGACAGAGGACCTGGCGTGAGCACAGGGATGATGATCACTTACACTTTGCAAAGCGCTCCTGGCTACCTGCTTGGTCATCAGCCTTCAGCCTCACCCCTCACACAATGGAGGTAACCACAAGCCTCCTGCAGAAAAACTGGCTCCCCATGCTCTGCTAGCTCCAGCCTCAGGATGCAGACTGGCCTCGCTGATGAGACAGATCTGAAATGCCCTTCACCCAAGCAGAGGAAGGAAGTGACCCTGCCAAGAGGATGGCATAGAGGGGGTTCTCCAGAGATGTGCCGCTGCCACGCATGAGACCAGAGCTCCTCCAGCTCCTTTGTAGCCCCTGTGGTTCCCAGCTCCTGCTTTGGGATGAGAGTTGAGGGCCTCAGAGGGAGAAGGAACCAGGGCTGGGCCAGTCCCACAGCACTGAGAAGCCCCTACAGGGAGCACTGATGCTGGTACAGCAGCAGAGCTGCTGTCAGTGGTCAGAGCTGTCACAGATGCTGTGGCCGAGGGCCCTCAGACAACCCATCTCCAAGGTGTCCCAATGTCTTACCTGAGCCCCAGTGGTTCCCGGACAGCAAACTTGATTTCATTTCCCAGTACTTGGCTAATCTGAAATTCAAATAATAGACACAAGGTGACTGAGCAGACCCTTACCCAGCTTTTAGGCAGTATTCATCAGCTCAGAAAAGCATCATGTGGGAGTTTATCTCTAAAAGGGCTGGAGGGAGGACAAGAACAAGGGATTAACCTGTCTCCTTTGTCCCAACACCTGCTCAAGGCTGCCTTGATTTCCATCAGGAGATGCAGCCTCTATCACTCCCTTACTGGGATCAGCCATGTACAATGTGGGCCTGGCCAGGGTCAACATTAACTCTTGTGTCCTCTCACAAAGTAGGCAACTGTCTCCTCCCACACATCACCTGCAGCCACATTCCCACGGAGCACAGACTCCAGCAGAGACCCGAGTGCCACGGAGTCTGTTGCACTCTTGTGTTTCCAGTGCCCAGACCAGCAACAGGGAAAGGTACTGGGGGACCTTTTGGTTGCAGAGAGCTCAGAGAACTCGGCCATGCCCCCTACAAGCAGGCAGGAGCTGGGCAATGCCTTGCCAGCAAAATCTCTAGAGAGCATCCAGGACAGGGCCCTTTCAGGCCTTTCAGCTCTGGTATTCCACTGAAATGGGTTGTTTGCAATTCAGGCCTCTTCTGAGAGGCACCACAGCACTGCTGCTCAAATTGCTGCTCCAGCATCCAGGCCACCAGCTGGTGGGCACGGGTGGTGCCACGTTCCTATGGCACCGGCTCTGAGCTAGCTCACTGGTGTCCCAGCAATACTAGTTCAGGAGTGGATGAAAGCAGAAGGTCTCTTGTCTGTCATGACTGCTGTGCAGGCTTCCCCCTCCCGTGCCTCCCTCACCTTTGAGCGGTGGACCTCGCCGTCATCGTCCTCCCCGCCGACCCCCAGGATCTTGCGCGTCTTCAGCCGGCTCACCAAGTCAGTCTGGCTGT